TTAAGTTCGTTAGTGTTGAAATAAGCATCTTTATACAGAAGCACAAACATAGGCTGTTTTGCAAAGAACGCAGCCTTGACATCACTTTCTTTTGCATAAACACTCACTGATTTTCTCTCTTTTTTAACTCTTCCTCTGTTGTTTTCTCTCTGCTTTTCATACCCTCAAGCTCACTCTCTTTTCTCAACTTACTCTCTTTTTTCAGTCTCAGTTGATCCTCATAAACCTGCCTTGGACTCAGCAACATAAGAGTAATTGTTTTCCCTTCCATGATGAACGAATAGTGATTTTTGAAGCCATCATGTGTTACTCTCCTATCATATTGCCATGTTCTCCCCAAAAGTAAATGTCCAACATGCATGGGAACCAAGTCGCACAATACCTCATCCTTATATCGTCCGATAGAGAATGAAACTAGAACTTGCTCATTTACCTTAATTTCTCCACAATCATTTGACCATTGCAGCTTATATAGCCTTGGATGCTTCATCATCGCTAAATTAAGCTTTTCAACAAAAACAGTGCTAACTACATTAGTACAACTGCCACCATCAATAATCACACTACATACCTTATTTTTGATATGGCACCTCATGTGAAATATGTTGTCACATTGTACTTCATCATCTTCTTTGGCTTGCACATTCAACGCATGCCTGGTGACAAGCAGTTCTCCATCAACAGCATATTCCATGCCACCATCATCAACATCTTCCAATGGTGGCATAGAGTCATCATCAGATTCACCCTCTATTTCAATTTCTCCATCCTCTTTCAAGATCATCCTGTGCTTATTAGTGCATTGCGATGCAATATGCCTTCTTCCCAAGCATCGAAAACACTTAATGTCTCTGTTTCTGCCTTGCATACTGTCAGTTTTACTCTTCTCACTGCTGCCAACATCTTTTGACTTAGATGCTGAAGTTTTAGGCTTAAAAGCAGAATTTTCTTCCTTTTTGCTCCAATTTGGTTTCGAAGAAAATGAGGAACCTGGATTTTTCCCAATTTTGGTGGTGGCACCTTTACACTTGAGTTGCCTTTCTACTTTCATTGCCATGTGCACCATATTCTCTAATTCAACATAATGTTGCAATTCCACCACATTAGCTATATCATGATTTAAACCATGCAGAAACTGTGCCATTGTTGCTTCTCTATCCTCTTCGACATTCGCTCTAACCATTGCGATTTCCATCTCCTTGTGATAACCCTCAATGCTTTTGGACCGTTGAGTAAGGCCCTGTAATCGTTGATAGAGATCGCGGTAGTAGTGACTAGGAACAAACCATTTTCTCATCGCAGCCTTCATCTCTTCCTAAGTGTCAACAGGTCACTTTCGATTTCTACGTCAACTAAGCACAAGTTGATCCCACCACACCACAGCGTAATCAGTAAATTCCACCGCTGTTAGTTTCACCTTTTTCTCCTCGGAATAGTTATGGCAATCAAACACCAATTCCACCTTCTTTTCCCACTCCAAATACACATCTGGATCATTTTTGCCTTGAAATGGAGGAATCTTCATCTTGATATTACCTAAGTCATGATCTTGCCGATCTCCCCACTTTGCTAGATTTTGGTCTCCTTTGTTAAATCTATATCTTTGACCCCCTCTACCTCTCATAAATCTGTCCATGTTGAAATTTGAGTTCTGGGCATCATCGTTGAATGCATCTTCATCATTGTCATCAAGATCATGATTATGCAAATTTGGACTTCCATTCTGTATTTGGTATAACTTGGCAATGGTTGCATCTTGCCTCTCCATTTTGTCTTTAATTTCACCAAACATGATGTCTAGCCTCTGAAATTGTTGTTGCATAGCTTTGAGCATGAAGGAATCATCCACTTGGTGTTTTCTATCATCATCGCTTGACATGATTGAAACCAGCAAGGAATGTTAGAAATAGAAAATAAAAAGGACCTCACAACACTCCCTTACGTGTTTCACTCCACTCTTTCATAGCATGGCACTCAACGCTCGTGTTTTACACACTGTAGAACTTGGCTTTTCTCTCAAGTGTTGCTCACACCTCTTGCCTTTTTCCCTCACTCAACTTTCCTCTTTCAGTTCGTTATTGAACTAAACAAGCTCAATTCAAGTTATTTTGCAGTAATCTAACTCCAACAAATCTGCAAGAGTTAAAGGAAATAGAAAGACACAAAGGAACGAACAAGAAAAGCAATAAAAGAACCAAACCCAAACAAATTAAAACAAATAGATTAGCTCAAGCACTTCCTAGTAGGAATTGACTTGACTCTATTCCTTAATGCAGTAGGATTCCTAACTTAGGAAGGAAGAAACAAAATTGCTATTTCCTTGTTTGAATAGAACTCAAAGAGAATTTCCAACTTCTTATTGTAGTGGGATTTGTATTCCTTAATATAGTAGGATTCCTAACTTAGGAAGGAATAAACAAAATTGTTATTTCCTTGTTTCAACAGAATTCAAAAAAAATTTCCTATTCCTTATTGTAGTAGAATTCCTTCTTCTAACTTTTTACTGGAGTAGGATTCCTTCTTCTTTAAGGATTTGGCCACCAATTTCTTCTCTATATAAGGAATTCCAACCACAGAATTGTGTTGCTTGTTT